CACACACACACACACACACACACACGCAAAACAAAATATCAGCCCCTTGCAAAACCACATCATCTTGCCTCCCTTCAGATTTTGGGGGTGGGGGGTTGCCTGCATTTAGCACTAAATGCACAACGTGTATCCCGAGCAAGCCCCCCCGCGTCCTTGGAAGCTGGGCCTGGGCGAGGGCCCTGCAGCTACACAGGGAGGATGCGTGGACGCCTACACGTGTATGTATGCAAGTATACATACAGACATATATCCCATATGTAAAATATAGAGATGACCTGTGGTCATGCTTTCACAGTCTAAGGTAAAAAAAAAATCCACTTGAGAGTATATATATATATACATTAAAACCCGACTCCTCAGTGCTAGAAGCTAAAGCCACTCCATTTGAAGACCTCTCAATGACAACGATAGATGGCAACTACGGAGTATTATAAAAAATCACACATACTTAAAGAAAACTCATTGCAAACAACTGACCTATATTTACAATACTGCTATTACTTTGCTTGAATGATCTTGTGCGCGTATGTCAGACATTTACAAAAGATTTTTCGCTCCATTCTGATCATAAAATAGATACTGATCTCCAGATTTCTAATACTTTTTCACAACAATACCTTTCCTACGCAGGCACTTAAGTGTGACAAAAATAAGGGCCTTCTTTTTTTCCAGAAAATCCATTTTTAATTAACAGGAGGATTAGATGAATGGGGGTTGACGGTTTACCATTTCAGTATAGCACTTCCTAAAACCAGAGATAAACCACGAACTTAAGTCCTCCACCCCCATCCCGGAATTAAACAGGTAAATACACTACAATACATCTGCTACAAACTTACTGTGACAAGTAAACAAATCAATCGCCTATGGACTTAAATGACTGCAAACTATAGAGAAGTAACGTGGTTTCTGAAAGACATTTATGACAGCCAAACAAGTTTCAGATATCAAATAATATTTTAATTTCTGAATACTTTCAATTTTCCTTGGAATATAACACACAAAGACTCGACCAAACAGTTCAGTTATTATAACTTTTACAGTATACAGAAATGTTGCACTTAAAAAAAAAACCTTCAGTTTTTTTAAACACAAAACTGTAAACTCTAAGATACTGAATCAATCACGTTATCTATAAGTGCCAACAGTGTTATTTTGTCATGCTGATTTCAATGGTATTTTTTAAAAAGGGAAAATATCAACAATTATTATAATACAAAGGGCTTGCAAATATACAAACAGATAGAGGAGTTTAATAACAATTCATGATGAACTATGTGGAACCCAATTCAAATTACAAAAGTTCACTTTGCTTGTTTGTTTGTTTTTAAAATCAAAACCGTAGTGTGTCTTGGACACAAATTCCTTCTACCTAGAATAAATCCCCACAGTTCATTTTTCTGTCCGAAATACCAAAAAAACCTAGATCTGGGGGTAGTTATATGTCACGTGTGGTTCATTCGGGTCTATATAATTATAGCTCTCTCAGCTTCAAGCTAGATTTTGGGTCACCACCTTAAGTGCGCTTCCATCATTGTGTTCTTGAGGGGTTTTTTCTCTTTTCCTTTCTTCCTATGATACTTTCGTGGACTCAGTTTTAATTCTTTCAGAACATATATTTTAAGGATACACAGTTTTTTTATTTTTTTTTAAAGAAGCCAAGGTTATATCAAAAATTATTATAGAACCACAGAATAAACTGGTTTGAAACCAGAAAAATACAAAAAAGAACAGCTATAGGTACATAGACACATAGGACAATTAATAATTTGGAAAAAAAAGACTTACTTTCTTCCGTTCTGCTAATTTTTTCTCCAAATTTCCTTTAAATGCACTTTAAGCGAGATTTTTTAAAAAGTTTACCCCAAAAAAAGAAAAAAAAGAAGAAAAAAGAAAAAAGAAAAAGCCCACCATCGTTTCTTTTCTTCTTCTTTCTCTTTTTTCTTTCTTTCTTTTTTCTTTCTCTCTTTTTTATTTTTTACAAAAAATGATAAGTAGCAAGTTTTTTTTTCTGAACGACACGGGAGTTTTTAATGCATTCTGTAAAAGTTCATTTGACAGTCTCTTTTTTTTAATTCACAGTCCATTAATTTTTTCCTGTCTTCTCTTAGCGAACTTGTAACAACCTTTTACATCCTTTCTTAGCAGAAGGAAATTTAAGAAACAACCAGAACCCAAATGTCATTTGCTTTCCTTTCACTCTTTTTCATCTCCCTTCTCAATTTTTTTTTTGAAATTTTTCTGTTATCTTTCTTTCTCGAATATTTTATTGAATTGACATATAAGGCCAGTTAAAACTGCTGCCAGACAGTAACATATCCCTGATTAGGGTTTCTATGGGGGTTTTACCTACCAAACGGACGAAAAACAATTGCTCTATGACAGAAGAGGAGACAGTGCGAAGGGAGGGGAGACGTAGTAATAGCTTCCCGAATCGTGTTGGCTGGTTGGGATACTGGCTCCTAACATACTCTTCCAAAGCACACTGTGACTTCTCCTGTAAACTTTCAACATGGGCTACATCAGAGAGACCACAGGCATCTAGAAGAAAGTGTATTAAAAAGAAAAAAAAAAAAAGAAAGAAAAAAAGAAAACAATCATCAGATTAAAAAAGTCTGGGTTTTTTTTAATTTTTAATTATTTTTTTTTTTTTATTGCTAGAATTAAGCGTAGATCGTGCGCCATCACCTCGCCCCCCAGAGTTAAAGTAGGATTTTACCAAAAGGGACAATCTCTTTCTGTGTACGTGTGTGTTTTTGTATTTCTCTCTCCTGGAGAGGCTCCTTTCGGAGTCAGAATCCCCAAGACTGGAGATTTCCAATGGCACGATAGACCAGAGGGGTTGACAAGGAGGTGCTGGCCAAGCGCAATTTGGTATATCTATATTTTTAGGTGCAAAGGCTGGGGGGCGGGGAAGGCTTGAGTCGAAAGGGGGAAAGGGAGCCACTATATCTCCCCCCCACACTTTGGAAAATAACTGGGGAGAGCCCAACCATGTGATGAGAAGCAATACTAATACTAGTGACAGAAATCATAATAGTAATAATAATAATAATAAAAAAAAATGGCCCAGCCAAAGATAATGGCGCCCCGGATCCAGCAACAGATTCTCCCCCAAAGAAGACAACGCGTTTTTCTTCAGTCTTTGAAACTGATTTAAGTGGCCCTTTAAAACTGATCTTGTCAGTTTAGCCTATTCAGAGGCAGCCATGCAAACTGTGATCTCTCTGTTCATTTGAGCTGTTTCTTTTCCCCCCTCTTTTCTTTTCTCTTTCTTTCTCCCCCCCCCTTCACTCCCCCCTCTTTTTTTTTTCCCTCTTCTTCTTCTTTTTAAACCTAAAGGCCCTTACAAGAAGAAAACTCCCTGATAGGGTCTGGACATTTTTTTTCCCTTTTTTTTTTCTTTCCCTGATACGCTAAAATACAATAAGTTCCCTTTAAATCAGAGACGTCTGTGCTGAAAGAGCACAGGTTGTGACCTGACCTCCCTGTGGCTTTCCTAGGCACAGGGCTAACACATGCATATTCTGCGAGTCATTAGAACCCAGATTTTTTTTTTTTCCTCTTAAAAGAGGCTGCAGCAAACATTACATGCATCTATGTGCGTCTGCTTTACATCAGGGAGTGTTATTGGGGTGCTGCAGAAGCTGCATGCATCACCCTGTTTTTTTAAAAATGTCTTTTTTTTTGCATGCGGCTATCTTCCCCAGAATCAGATAACAAGAAACGTTTATCTAGTTGGGAGGCAATTTACACGCCAGGCCTCACATTTTGAAAATAGTAATAAATTAAACAGTTACGACAGGATCGGACGATTGTTTTCTCAGAAGGCTAAAAAAAAAAAAAAAGGAAAAAAAAAGGAAAAAAAGTGATCTGGGAGAAAAGGCAGGATTGGAAATAAACTCCTCGGTGTGGGTGTGAGCTGGCCAGGGGCTGGGGAGGGATGGGAGCGTGTGTGGGATACAGCTAGGAAAATACATCCTAGAAAACGACCGAAAAATAAAATAAGCACACCTCTTACACCCCTTACCACTCGGGATCCCTGTCTCCCTCTGCCTGGATGTGCCCTGCTCATTGATCACCTTCGGACTTTAGCACCAGTAATTTGGTGTGGGGGGGAGGGAAAAAAAAAAAAGAGAAGTTTTTTATGTGTAAAGCAATAATATATAAAAGGAAGTTTAGGTCACGACCCAGAACCTGGACAAAGTCCAGAAAATGACTTCGTTCCCCAGACCCCCTTTAACACAACAAGGAGCGGATTGTGAGCCCTTCTTTTCCCACATAAACTACATTTTTTTCCTGTTTCCTGATATCAGGCTTTAAAAAACTCCGATGAGTAATTATTTTACAGGTCCTGCTTCCATTCATATGTTTATCGCGTGGCCACTTTCCCAAGCTATCAAATGAGTTGCAAGAAGAAATATATGTATTTCTAAACTTAATCCCAAAACTTCTAGGGCTCCAGCACACTGGGTTGCCGATGCAGCCTTAAAGTTAGCAATCTAAGATAACGTATTGCACAAATTAGCGAGCAGATTATTTTTTTTCCCCTCAAAAAAAAAATAGCCTCCAGAGTTAATATCAGGTTTATTACTCACCCAGGTTAAACTCTAGTGCAAGCTAATTAGATTTCACAACGCACTCAATTATTGCTTTATAACTCATGCACTATTTCTAGGCAGCAAAAGTTGACACATATTTCCCCCCTGCCCCCCCTCTTTGATTATCTAAGAAACACCTCGAGGTCTTTTCCTCGGGAGAGCCATGGCTGTCCTACCCCGGGATTGCACTGCGGAGCGGCAGCCCCAGCCTCCTCTGACTTTTTCCTCCCATTCCTGGTTCCTCATGGGAATGAGCTTTTCGCACCCGCTTCCCGCTTTGGACCAGGCAGCTCCTGCTGGGTACAAATGCAAACTTTTCCCCTTAGCTTCACTGACACAGAGCTGCTCGCTGCCACGTTCAGTTTAAATCAGAGACAGCTCTTTGGAAAGTTGATTTATTTTATTTTATGGGATGGCAGGGAACATATTTTAAACTCAGCTTTGCGCATTTAACTTTTTTTTTTTTAATTCAATTTTTAATCCTGCAGGGCTTTTTTCCCTTCCTGGCTGCCCATAAAATGCTCCTCTTTTTAAAGTGGTTGCACTGATAGGACGACTTGTATTTAACAACATCAAACAGATTTTGCTGCTGTTCGGATGCGTGTCATTAAATGCAACAACCCAGAGCTATACTGTTAAATAAAATATTATTTTCAATGGGAAAAGAGCAGTCTTTCGTGGCAAATGGGTGCCTCTCCCCGTGTCCCCTCTTCCCCCGTCCCCAGCGCTATTCGAATGAGATTGGGGTGTGTTTTGGTTGTCTTTTGTGTATGTGTGTGTTTTCTTTATTTTATTTTATTTTTAATTTTGCACTCCCTCGAAGATGGGATGCTCAGATCCGAGGACCTGAAGGGGAGATCACAGGGCACCGTTTCCTAAAAGGAAAGAGACCGCGCTGGTTCTCGGGGGGGTGGCAGGGAGCGGTGATAGGGTGTAGGCAGTAACACTTTGCAAAAGCAAACACTTCTCAGGGGGGGTCGGGGTGGGGGGAGAAGGAAAAAGGAAGAGCAAAGAAATGCTGCCTACCTGAGGTGAAGAGGACTATGGCCTTTAAACAGCTATATTCTGCGGAGTCGACATGCAATGCTTTCAGTTTTTCTACTTGCTCTTGGAAGATTCGTATGTGGTCCATAAAGGCGACCACTCGGTCAGCAGACATGGGCGAAGCGTGAAGGCCAGCAGCTGCCAGGAGCGGAGCGACGTGGAGGGGCATGGAGCACTGGGCAGCGTTGAGGACGAACAACTCGCTCCAGGTCAGCCTCAGGAGGGCCACCTGGTCTGTGATCTGGAGGTCTGGGAAGAAGGGGATATTCCTGGCCCACTCCACCGCGCTGAAGAGCATCCTAGCTGCCAGTTCACAAATGTTCTCGATGCCCATGATGTTGTTGGGTTGCATGCACTGACTGCCAAAGCGGGAGGTGGGGTAGGGCTCTGCTCTCAGAAGAAGGGAGATATATCCGGATAGGTAGGAATGGCAGTTGAGAGGGTCCCCGTTTGTCAAGGCGAACTGACCATGAGTTGGCTGTGTGGGTGGCATTCTGCCCCTCTGGACCGCTGCAGTAAATAAAGAAGAAACTACAGCTATTAATATCTGAATTGCGACCATCGGTTCACATACAGCCTGCTTTGTGTGCTGCTGCCGGCCTGGGTGACACAGTACCGAAGCAGCTGGAGGGGAAAGCAGGCATTTTTTCCCGAGGCAGAGTTCAGCCCGTACCCCGTTTTAAGGCTTCGCAGCCCCCAGGGTCAAGCCAAAGCAACAATAAAAGCTGAGCGATGCTGTCCGCTCGGCCAGGGCTGCCTGAAGGAACCCGGATCCTCACTTCCCCAAACATGTTACAATTCAGTTATTTCTCCTCCACACTTTCCACCACGGCCACCCCTCCGTCAAGAAATACATCTTTGTGTGCCCGGGGATTTTTCTTCATTACACCTAAAAGAGCTCATTGATTTGAGACTGGGGGGGAGCGGGATGAGGAAGGAAGGGAAGAGGGAAGAAACACTTCAGTTCAAAATCCCCGGCGCTGGTCCCACACGCGTTTCTCGCCCACTGAATATATTGTTGGTGCTGTTATTATACACCCCCCATTTATAAGAAAATATCAAAGGAGGCGAGTTCACCCCACAACATCCTCGGCAGGTCCCTCAGCCAGGCCGGGGGCATTATCCAAAGGCACCTTCCTCAGCTGCCCATGGAAAGTGGGCCTTTCATTTTGTTCATAAATTTACCCAGTGACAGCGAGAGAAAAAGGAGCGAGAAAAAAGGGCTCAGAGGCAGAAAGACGGCAAGAAGGGAGAACGTCTAAAAATGTGCTTGATTTATATTTGTTATCGCCGGTATTACAAGGTTAGTTACTCTTGCAGAAACACAAAGAGAGGAGCCCAGCAAGTCCCAAGCCCCCTAACCCTTAACCTACATAGCGGCGTCCAGACACACAGCACGCACTGGAAAACTGCAGGCTCACATTTCTCGTCTAATTTTATATCACAAAGACTCGACTTGCAGAGACCCGAGCACCCCACACTTACTTCTGGGCTGCTCCTTTCCTCTCTCTCCCCCTTACACCCGTCCCTTCTGCTCCCCTCCCTGTCTCTCCCGAAGGGACAAGAAAATAGGAGGAAGAGGAGAAAAGTGAGAGGATAACAGTCGGGAAAGGCAGGCACACGGCAATGGGGAGATATATATATATACACACACGCGGGTATGTGTATATATATATTTTTAAAGGAGGAAAAATCCGACTGGGAATCCACAGTGGAGTACTGTAGAGCCTCGGTAGGGTGAGTCCCATTGTAACAGTAATTTGAACCGCCTGTGTAAAATTGCAATCTAAGGCAGGGTGCTGGGGGATATATATACACACATATATACACACACATGTGTGTGCGTGTGTGCAGCTCGGGAGGTTGTGTGTGTGTGTGTGTGTGTGTGTACACACACGCACAGACACACACACACACACTCACTCCCAGAGCTGCTCGGGGGGACGGGGGGGACCGCTGAGCATGCAGGGGGAAACATGAAGGAAAAGCAAGAATCATCACCTCCCTCCTAAGCAGCGTGAAACTAAAAATCCACTTCCAATAAACCACCATCAGCAAAATCAAAACAAACACAAATCAATTACGAGTGCAGGAAGAAAGCATGCAAGAGCCCCTGCCTCCCCTGCCCACCCTCTCCAACACCTCTTTCTTTCATTACGAGAAAGTTTCTGTCTGTTTATTAGGGGGTGGGAGGGAGGGAGAAGAGGGAAAGGTTTTGGTGGGGTTTAGGGAGGGAAGTTAAAAATAATAAGAATAATAATTTAAAAAAAATAAAAACAACAAACCATCAACAAAACCCAAAACGCAGCGAGTGAAAAAAAAATTGCAAAACAAATGAAATCCCAATACCTTCCCGTCTCATGCCAACTTTGAGGCATTTTTTGAGGCGGCAGTACTGACACTGATTGCGGTGGTGCTGGTCAATGGGACAGTTCCTGTTGGCACGACAAGTGTAGCTGAGATTCCTCCTTACACTCCGCTTGAAGAAACTCTTGCAACCCTCGCAGGTAAACTGGCCATAATGTTTGCCACTAGACTTGTCCCCACAAACCACACATTCAATGTGCTGCTGCTGCTGCTGTTTGTCTCCTTGGTTCTGCTGGCTTGGCGGGTTGGTCTGAGCTGGCGTACTGGGAGGGCCCCCGGGCCCCGGGGTCTGTGGGGTGTGCGGGGTCC